CCATAGGGTTAGATTGTCCCGTCCAAAGCTGAATACGCATGCCATTCACTTGAGTACAGAACGGAGCAATGCGTAAGGCAGTGAGTATTGAGACAAGGCAAATCGTTGTTTTGCTTGCTTTATAAGAGTGCTCCTTTCTTTTTTTTCGACGATCGGTGTTTTTAGGTTTGAAAAAGTAAGGTCGTCTGCTTCCGAACGCTCGCTTGTTCGTGTTGGCAGTATTCGATATTCGAAGCAGGCGTATACAAACAGACTCCGTACGCTCGAACATAATATATACATGAACACACGAATCACACGCGTGCTATACATACGTACGAACTTGAATACAAGGTATTTCAACCTCCCCGCTCACCCAGAAAATGTCAGCAGCATAGCTCTGGTGCTGGCATTGATAAATGGACAGAGCTCGTCACTAATAAAGTATGCTAATGTTAATTAGTCATGTTGGGTTTCTGGAAGCGTATTCAGTGAAATTATGATAAATGCATCACCTAAAAAACAAACTCATACCAAAACAAGTTCTGCTGCAATGCGTCGGAAAAGAACCAAGTGATGCACCCGCAAGTCGAACGATTTAAAACCGTGAAGAACTACTTTTTGCAGTTTAAATTTCTTGCAAGCTGATGAACCTAAACTGTCAGTGCGCCACGTTTAATGACAACGCATCACCGTCTGTAGGCACCACGAAGCAATCGCCGGCATGAACACTGCATGTTTGTCCATACTAAATATATTTCAGGTTTCTTAGTTCACGCCGAAGAAACGTACGTTAATGACAGGGGTGTAGGGAGAATTGAATGAGAATTGGTGAGGTACACTAATCTTTTATATATAATCGTCCGTGCGTTTGTGCTCGTGAAAATACACACATGAAAAATAAAAATGGGGGGGGGGGGGAGAACTGCAGCAGCTGAATTTGCCAGTGGGTAGCACTACGACTTTCAGAGAAACAAGCATACGCGAGAAACACTCACACACATAATGTAAGAAGTTTCCTAAAGCGCTCGCGTATACAACCGAAACTATATACTCCGCTCTTTGAGAAGCCCGAATATCGACAAGAATGCAAACGTGGTAAATAATGGAGTAGTCACCGGGCAGAATGAAGTTGTCGTGAACGGAGCGATCGCGCGTCATCTGCATCCTCCAGGAAGTGACATAACGATATGTTACCATCATTGTACTGCGATGCCACGCATTGCGACTCACTGCGATGGTTTTCGGACATCGCTTTCTTCTTTTGGGGGCTCGTGCGCGTTGCACGAAAGAAATTGATTGATTTGTGGGGTTTAACGTCTCAAAACCACCATATGATTATGAGAGACGCTGTAGTGGAGGGCTCCGGAAATTTCGACCACCCGGGGTTCTTTAACGTGCGCCCAAATCTGAGCACACGGGCCTACAACATTTCCGCCTCCATCGGAAACGCAGCCGCCGCAGCCGGGAATCGAACCCGCGACCTGCGGGTCAGCAGCCGAGTACCTTAGCCACTAGACCACCGCGGCGGGGGCACGAAAGAAATAAAGGAACTATGCGGCGCTTGTCAACTCGCGCAACGTGGTAACATATCTCCTCTCAAAGATGACCCTGTTAGGGCTGTTTCCAGCTGCGTGATCGCTAGGTGGCGAGCGATCACCTGGAATTGGGATAAACTATCACAAAATTAGTTTTTCCGAATGTCCGTTTTTCAACTATATAGCTAATTAAGCTTTGTACTTCAGGCAGGCTAAGTATTCCACTCTTGTAGACCCACTTTGTTCACAATGGTAAAAATACACCCTTTCCCACCAAAAATAACTATTAGTAGCATACGAAGCAGCACATGGATCGACTTTACGTTTGGTTCATCACGGGCATCTTGTCCGATGTTAACGCGTCCTTGCAAGTGGACTCTAAGCCAAATTTCGGCAAAGTTGAACTAACTGCAGCCGTTAAACCAACAGATGAACGGTTAGTCCCACAGGCACTAAATGCTTGACAGTGCGTGTCGTGCGCAAACGCCCGGCAATTAAGGTACCAACGGGGAGGCAGCGTAACTGCGCCGCGATCGTATTCTGTCGATGCTGCATTGCAGTGCTTGGCGTGGTCGGCGATCACGAAAATGAGTTATATCAGTTATACGCCACTGTGAAAGCGAAGCACTATGAAACGAATAGAAGCTGTTATGAGAAGCAAGTACAAGACGCTGTCAGTGTGCACAGGAAGCGCCCTCACGTTTTCACCATGCCGGCATGGGCGGGCCGAAAACGAGTCTCTCCGACCACGGGCGATGCGGATAACTCGCTTCCATATGCTGAATTAGTTAGAACTACGAAGAACACTGACAACGCTTATAGAATAAGCTGTTGGTCAGTGGTCGTGTATCCGCGCAGTCAGTGGCCGCCTCTTCAAAGCAATATATAGAAAAAGTAGGCTTCGTAAGTCATTGGTATCAAGCTGGCTGCCTGTGTGAGTGCATTGGCAGCACACGCGAAAAAACGTCGCATACAATTTATTTCACAAAAAATAATGTTTCCTGCATTAAAGCCCAGATGCACTTATGTCTTTTTCTCCATGCGACAATCGTTGTCATAAATCAAGGGCGAAGGTGATCGCGGATGCGACTAATCGCGTGGCCGGTGGTGCACAGCGAGTGACTTACCAGCACGATGAAAGAACCGTGCCTGCTAACGGTCACGTCGCTGTAAGTAGGCTATATAGATATCTACATTGCTCCGTAATACGCCGCGAACAGTGAACACCTACCTATTGTTCATTTGTTTCTATAGAGTAACGACGACGAAAATTCCACACGAGCCGCATGTTGCGACGCCAGTGGTCGTTTAGCCGTATTCCTCGTAAGCCGATAGCGACGCCGTCGGCAAGCCGACACGCTATAGCATCGGCGGGGCGCCTAGCTGCTTCACCGGCTTTCTTGCATAAGCGCCGCTGCTATGTTTCTGTTTGCAGACTCGTGCACCAGCACTGCGAACGCTGGTTTGACCAGCATGATTGCCTGCCAGCTGATAATTCGTATTCTCTGACTGAAGGGATGTTGAAGATTAGATGGATCTATATTAAAAGATTGGTGCGCTTCGGTGCTACGAATTAGCACATGTAAATTTTCGCGTTACGGTGTCAATGTTTATTGTTTTTTTAAGACCGAGCAAAAGTCGCCCACTGGCACTACATGGGAGGTCAAAATACTGTTCTATATATATCCGATAGTTAGATTTCTCTATTGCAGCGTGGGCGGTCAATGTTTGCGGTGTTTTCTTTTGAAATATTGTTGTGCATGTATGTGTGTGTTGCTTGACCAAATGTACTGCGTTATTCAGTGCTGAATAAATTGGAATAAACATGAAATATACTCCACAAGTGCAGGGTTGCTATTTTTTGCCATTTGTCCAGACGGTTTAACTGTTAGTCCCACTGGAGCATTCTACGAGAACCAACAGATGAACCCTGTGGAGTAAGTGCTAGGGGGTTACAGTTGAACCCTTGCAGTTGCTCCCGCAGTTAGTCTGAAATTGGTAAGAAATCTGTGGCAGCCCATTGAGTGCCATAAAGGACCAATGGCATACCCCACTTTAGTCCTTTTCGCTTTAGAGTGCGAGCGCACCATCAATTCACTGTAGTTTCTGTTGCTGTTACTCGTCCCGAGCTCTTGTTGGAGCACGCTATATGCGGGTTCATCGCTAAGCGACTTGGGAGCACGCGTGTTCATCATGCTTTTGCGGAGTCTCATACCCCGACGCCATCACATGAAATCGGAAATAAGGTTAGAGAGAGAGGCCACAGCGTATTAGCCAGTCCCTTACATAGGCCGGAACGTGCTAGCGTAAGAGCGCGTTCTGGCAGTGCTTTGGCCAGCTGTCGTGCGTGTGTGGTAAGGGTGATTACGCACACCGGATTGAACTTCGCCATAAGCTGTTTCGAATCTAAAAAAAAAAGTCACAGCTTTGCTGCAAAGGCGAAGCAATGAATGCGATAGCAACAATTTGAAAGGTCACGCGCAGAATGGAAATTAGATCGAAACGCGCCCCACGTTTCTCGCGCACAAATTACGCACAAAATGTGCTCACAGGTACGGATGCACGCGAATAAGCGTCTCATTTGTTACTTTGCTGAGTCTGAAAAGCGTGCCCTTTTCGCGAACGGAGACTCCAATGATTGAAGTGACCTTTGTGCACCCGGTAACTACAGCAGAATCATTCCATGTAAACCCCGAGGCTAGCCAAGGCATGCGATCCTCCCCTCCTCGCCACCGCGAGATAAGGGTGCACGAGGGAGCGTTGCTCCCCTTTTCTAAGCCGGGCAAAGTACGCGTAGGAGATTAAAGCGGGCGCCGCTGCGCGATGTGGCGACGTGCGCTCATTGCGCAATCTTTCTGGTAATGCCAAAAACACAGCAGCGGTAAGTGGTAGATATAAACAGCTGGCCGTTTGAACGGTAAAGAACATTCTCCGGAGCAGCTGAGTGGTTAACGCCTCGCTTTCACGTTGCAGAAGTCCCACGTTCGATTCCGCGCACTGGAGGGCTTTTTCTCTAGATTTTTTCTTTCTGGTGTTTTCTTCATATATATATATATATATATATATATATATATATATATATATATATATATATATATATATATATACGGTGCATGAGATCGACGCTGGTGCAAAGTCAAGCCGAGAGTGTCCATATAATTGTACCACAATAAAATAGCTTTTACGTCGAAAAATACCGATGGCCCGTTTGCGTAAGCCTGTCTAATACGCTTCTCCCCTGAGTTCACAGATATTAGGCAAGAGTGTGAGCTTAAAGGTGCCGGACACGCATGAACCAACATTCTTATCACGTGCGTTGTTGAAAAAGCTCGATGATTCAACAGTCTACGGTAGTAAAATAAGGAAGAAGCTACCACCGCCCCACCTTTTTTTTTCTTTTCCTGCGTAGTCGCTCCCTTCGCCAAACTGAAGCAACACCAAGCCCTAACACTCCGCGTACAACAATCAGCAGAATAGACGTACCTGTTCATCCAGGTCAGCGTAAAAGCGCCATGCCCGCGCTGTCTTGTCATGTGACGTGCTGAGTACCAGGTCACCCGTGCACAGCACTCGGTTGACTCGGGCGCCATGGCCGACGAAGATGTGAACACACTTAGCGTCTACGATGGACCACTTGCGCAGCGTGCCGTCGGCAGAACCGGTGAGCACGAAGTTTCCGTGGACCGTGCAGTGCGTGACGTAGCCCGCGTGGCCGCTCAGCGTGCCCAGGAGTTCAACGGGCGTCGACTGGCTGCTCCACATGAGCACGCGGCCGTCCTCACTGCCAGACACGAGCAACGAGTGGTCCTCGCTCAGCGACAGGCAATTTATGCCACCCTGGTGCTGCTCCAGCCGCTCGGTCAGGTAAGGCCAGCGCACACCTGCCGAATCTGCGCTGTCAGTCGCCATAGAGGCCCTCTTACGGCTCCGGCGGATGCTGCAAGTGCTGCCCATGAGCCGAAGCCTCAAGGTCCGCAAACGTCGATGCTTCTGGCAACCCTGCAGTGCGTACACGTAGTAATCACGCACTTAACCAGCTTGTGACGTCTGTGGTTTCTACTACAATCTTAGCCAAATTCTGGCTAGAATACATGCCTGCAGGGAGAAAATCAAGTCAAATTTTCACCGCTTCCAACCACTTCACTACGCTGCTCCGTATCGTGTCCAAGAGAAAGTGGCCCTCAGAAGTGGCCTTCAGAATAGTCGAGACAAAGATTAGCCGAAATTGTAGGTCAAATTTTTCCTGGCTAGGTATGGCCTGCCGTAACGCGTGACATCCCGTTGGCGGCCCTAACGAGATCGCGTATAAAAAAAATAGATTTTTGCTCTTTCAGTGCGCTGCCTCGCTAATTCACTTGTACTGAATCTTTGTACTAGTAATTAGATAACGGATAATACCATATTCACTCAAATCTGCGACATTAACATACAAAGTACAAACAACACTGGAACCGAGCTCAGGACTACATGCAATGAAACAGACACCTTACCCACTAAAGCACCCGAAACTTCAAAAAGTAGCGGCGTGTATGATTATTCGCCTGCGTCCTCTTTTTTCCTCCCCCTTAGACCTCTACAATGCCGGCACCGCTCTGGTATTGGCCAGTGCCGTCACGTGGGACCGCTCGCAGTGTTCGTTTGCTTAAAGTCGCTTGAGGCTACCATCTCTTCTCTCGAGGCGCTGACTCCTTGGGGCGCAGTAAATCTGTTTTAATGTATTCGAACTTGTCCTTCTGTGCGCGCTCTGCTGTGAAGTACTTTTCACCCAAGAATGGCGTCGCTGTTCGCTGCAGTGGGTGGTTGTTGCGCCATCTGTTGTCAGAACAAGTCTAGCGACGGCCGGAAGTTCTTGATGATACCACCCATTAAGCGCAACGAGCTGTGACAAAAGACCTGTTTGCATAGAATCGAAAGTAAGAACTTCAGGCCGACATTTTCGAATCCACTCTCCGAAGTAAGTTGCGCGTCTTTCACTTTCAGTATGGCGCAATGTTTGCCCAATTCAATGCGTGCTGTAACGCCGCAGTGAATCGTGCAGGACGTCGTAATCTCTCACTCAGGTTTCATTAACGCTTCTGCGGGGGCTGTTCTTTTTTGTGTCAATAATACATGTTTACGAGTTCCGCTTGTCGTTATGTGCCGACTGGTTTCAGTTCGTGGTACTGCTTTGCGTGCTTAGCATGTACGCGGAAAGACGCTCGAGATTGTGATCGCAAAACTTCGGAGATTTCGAGCTGCTGTTTTGAACAAACGAAACTCGAGTGCAGCAACTCGCATTAGGATTGGTACTCTCCGTTGGTTTTAGTTGCGTGGTCACACATATTTGAGATTGAATGATCAGCCGGGGGACCCGCGATGCGAGGGCACCTCTGCAAAGCGTTCATGCCTTCTAGTCATTGGGTGTGTGCATCGTTCAGGAACCTCGCATATACGTGCCATTTGAAGTGATAGTTTTTTTTCCTCCTTCGCGTGAGAGTTTATATCCGGAACTCAAACTCTCGCGAAGTAATCACGTATAGGTGGTACGGCAGGTAATTCATAAGCTAGCTCATTCTTTCAAGAATATAGTTCATATGTGAGATTTGTCCACAAAGCGCCGTGTGTCTAACCATTTCACAAAACAACCACAGCTGTTCTAGTGTATCAACTATAAAAGATGTACGCCTTATGAGACATTATTGCGACAGCTATAATGAGTCACCCAACGCTAAAATTGACCATCGACAAGATCACCAGCCCGCGTCGACAGAGTAAATGCGAGTTGTTGCTTCCACTTCACGACAGTCACTGTGAATGCTCTGTGCACATATTGTGTACCCTATATACGGCGAAGCTTGCATCATCCATGCGCTGAGTAAGGAAATGCAGTCGCACTGTCCCTTCATTGGCTATCGCGCCATCTATTAGAAAGATAAGCCGTATCAGCCACACATGCAAGTTTGAGCGCTGTTATTTACAGTGTAAAACTTATTCAGAGACGCGCTCAAGGATGGGCCAAGAAAAAAAGGGAGTTCTCATTAACAACTACATTTTCAGGTTTAAGGTCATACTTACTAAGAAGCGGTATGCGCAAAGTTAACATCCGGTCACTGCGATGCCGAGTGACTCAATCACGGCCTGATCACACGTCGCACGTGGCACTAAACAAAGCTGTTATGGGCCAATGTTACACTCGCTAAGGTAATTTTAAAATGAGTTAGAAAGCTGGGGCGAATGCTGTCAGCGGACTGCATGCCGATCAAGCGCTCTTTTCGCGAAAGGGCGTTTGCTACGCAGGAGCAAGGCAGGTGGCGCCACGTTCCAAATGCGAGTGTGAAGAGGAGGAGGTTGAGGAGAAACGCTAGCGGAGGAGGAGAGTGTCGCTACTTTGCGAAGTTTCAGAAGCTCTATTACCCATTAGAGTTATGGTATATGCTGCCTAAGGTAGAATATACAGTAACTATATTACCCATCGCATCACAGCGGCACCGCATGCGAGGTCGTTTTTTTTTTTTTGCGGAGTACATATTTACGAAGTGCTTTCCAAACCGTCGGCGGAATGTATAAGTTATTTCTTTGTGTCTTATGCATGTGTTTGACCGTGTATTAAGTCAGCTAATTGTTTTAGCGGTTTGATGACCTTAAGACAAACGCGGTAAGAGACTTCGGCTATGATTTCCCTACCTGGTGCGCCATGGTGCAAGAACAATTAACGTGTGCTTGTGCGTCGTTTTAGCACTTCTCCGTCAACCATGGGTGTGTCGTTCACCGAAAATTTGCGGACACCAGCGTGACGGGGAATTCTTTAGCTCTTTAAAGCCACGTATGTGTCCCCCAAGTGCTCGTGCTGTGAGCAATTCATTTCGCATGGTATGCGCTTGTCATTGACAGCAGCCCATTCTCAGCTGTTCGAAGGCCATCTTCTTTCACACGTCAACGTTACGCGGGTATTAAGCGTGCCTAAATTAAAATTTACATTTAGTGCAAGCGAACTTTCGCGAGCTGCACGCTTGGGCTGCAGCACTGTTTTAGTATTTCGACGATCATGTATTTCCGCAAGAGCACTTATGCACTCTAGTTCGGGATACCAGTGTTTTTTAGTATTTAACTGATATTATAACATAGCTACGTTATAACATATCTACTGATATTATAACATATCTACGTGTCAGTAAAGAACAGCTGCTCTTTAGAAAATGAGAAATTTTTTTGTAGCTGGTACATTTCTGGAGCAGTAGACAGGTACACAGGTGGCTTGATCGAGGTTTAATGTTAGAAATGCCGTGCTATAATACGAGAACTGTAGTAGATATTCAAGAGTGAGAAAGTGTGGGTCGCCAATGCTCTCCCGCTGGCTTCTGCACCGGTACCTGTTGTTGAAGTTCATCATGCAATTACCCTACCTCTAATAAAACATTAACCCACCAATTTTCAATATTGATCACTTTCTGTCTGGCTGTCTTTTGTTTTGCTTTATAATAATAATAATAATAATAATAATAATAATAATAATAATAATAATAATAATAATAATAATAATAATAATAATAATAATAATAATAATAATAATAATAATAATAATAATAATAATAATAATAATAATAATAATAATAATAATAATATAATAATAATAATAATAATAATAATAATGATAATAATAATAATAACAATAATAATAATATAATAGATATTGTTATTATTATTATAATATTATTATTAGTAATGATAATAAGAAGACAATTTTCAACATGTTATATCGCGTCTCTTTTTAAACAACAACAGCTTGTGTAGTATGTGGTTAAGGCAACTAGTTCAGTTCCAACTCCAATCGCAGGTATTGTTTGTATGTTTATTTGGATGGGGCGATTATTTGGCTGTTTTTCCTCTGTGATCGCCAACCAAGCATCTGCTATCAAAACATTTATTACACAAATGATTGACTGTGAAACATGGAATCAGTTCCAAAGTTACAGCCCGAACTGCTTGAAAACACATACTGCACCTTGTTTAGGGTATGAGCCCAAGTGTCGAAAAGAATTAAAAAAAAAGTGTGAAAAACCAGAGTTTCCTAGAGTATATTATAGGGCACATCTTTTTAAACCTATGTGTGCATTATGAAGCTCTATTTTTTTGTTAGTTTTTTCATATTCACATTTATAAAAGAGTGCCCTACGCTCACAAACATCTAATGAGTCTTATTCTCTCTCAATTAGTTTTATTCTCTCTCAATTTACTGCAGGGACACAATATAAGCTTTGGCCAGGGCAACGAATTTAAACAAATGAGATGCGACAAATATTGAAAACATAGTGATTATATGGCCAAAAATATATTTACTACCACTAGGCGCACCTTGGTATAAGAGACAGGCATAATAAATCTTGTGGCATGATTTTGCTTATTGAGGATCGTTGGACACCCACATAATTAAATTATTGAAAAATAATTACTAGCAAAACGGTCAAGAATGTTCGCGTGCGGAAAAATACTGAAAATACAAATTCTGACAAGTTCATTACTAAAGGTTTCAAGCAGGTGAAACGCTCACACAAGGTGATCTGAAACGTTAAGTTACTGGATATTTGTAGCCAGTTTGATCAGGGACCTCACTATTCTGCGCCGTCACTCGAGTGGCAGCTCACCTTTTTTTCTTGCTTACATTGAAGCGTCAGTGCTGTGACGGGATTGCTTTCAGGATGCGTTGCTAAAATATTTGAGAACCAAGTTGAAGCGTCAAGTCTGCTCTCGGAATGTTGCGCTGCCACTGTTAAAACACACCCGCTTCCCTAGGCACAACGGAAAAAGAAGTCAGTTTCACCGCAAGCACACTCTTTTCATAAACGGAGACTGTGAAGCGATTGCAGTGACTTTTGTGCGCCCGGTAACTACAACAGAATTGTTCTGGTTAAAGCCACAGGCCAGCAAGACGT